AATTCAGCGAGGCCTTGAGCAACTCAGCAAGACGTTGTCTCTAAATAAAATATTTTTAAAAAGGACTGGGGATGATGTGACTCAGTTGTTAGATGCACCTGGGTTCAAACCCCGGTACCAATAAATAAATAAATAAATAAATGTATATATAGAGACAGAGACCTCTGAACACCAGAATCATGGAGGAAGATTGTTAGGACTATAGATTTGAGGACTCCGCCTTGTGTAGCCGTTGTGGTTCACTCTAGAGATAAAGCTGCAAATAAGATACAGCCTGCCCTGTCTTCATGGAGGTTATAATCGAGAGGAGTGAGTATAGTTTCCTCAGAGGAGAAGAAGGCAGATTGTAAAAGAGAAGGGTACAAGCAACAGAAACCAACTCCGACTTAAAGTAATAAGAAGACATTGGAAGCTTGTGTAGCATCTCACAAAGTCTGGAGGAAAGGGCAGGAACCCAAAGAGCAGTAGGGATTCAGCATCAGACACTGAGGGGGAACCTCTCCCAGGGCCCCGCGTCTGGCTGAAAGAGCTCCATTTTTTCAGTCTAGGACACATTTTTAGTCTCTATGACACAACTGGCATTTCTTGGCCTCACTTCCATGGTGCACCCACTCTTCAGCCCACCAAGAGTTTGTCCAAAGTAGGAGTGGGGGTTCCTCCAAGAAAACTCTGGGGGCTGTGACCAGATGTAGGGAAAATTGTGGCTGAGCAAGTTAAAACAACAGATGGGAGGTAAGTCCAAACAGTGGGCGCTAAACTATTCTTCCAGTAATTCAGAGAAAAGAAAAGAGGCAGAAACTTAAGAGGATTGGGGTGAGAGAAAGGTTCAGCTGCTCACCAGGTGCGAGGAACTAGGAAGTAAAATTTAATCTGCAATATAAGAAGAATGAACCTCCAGGCAGAGTTAATCACCCCCCCACACACACACCTCAGTGTGCACGGAGCAGGGATGTGCACACAGAGTCTTCTGGCACAACTGTCACCAACAGGCCTCAGTGTGCTATTCCGATGACCTATGGAGAACTGAATATTCAAGGGTTCTTGATGGCATGGTTCTTTGCTGCACACAGGAGACCTTTGGCTCTTGCGTGTCCACTACAAATCTGTTTGCAGTCCTGTTCTTACACTTTAGTATTTGTCATGTGGTTTTGCTACTGAGGTGCCCCTTAGGAATCAGAACCATGGAACTTCACTTTGGTGGCCGGCTTTGGACGGAATGACGTGCTACTCTGGAGATCATGGGAATGGATCTGAATTTTCCAAACTGGCGACAAAGAAAGATGTTCGCTGATGCTCCTGGCAAACATTCATAGCTCTGTGGTCGAATAAGCTCAGGAAGTGCTGCACCCACGAGTCTTTTCTTGGATTTTGTGTGTGTGTGTGTGTGTGTGTATTTGAGGATATTGCAAATAAATCTGTTTAACGACCTGTGAAGTCAGCAACTTTGTGTTGGGGAGACCGTTCTATCTCCCCCGTAGGATTTAGAAAGTTCTTAGAATTTAAATGCCTGCTATCTATCTAATCTATCTCTGTGTGTAAATATATATATATGTATATATATTTACATATTTAAATATATAAATAAATGTATAAAATATATTGATATAAACATATGTATTTATAAAGTGTACCAAGGCCATCAAGTAATACAGCCAGAATCCTTAAAAAATCCAAAGAATTCCAATCAAGTTCATTTGTGATTGTTTTCTCATAAATACATTTTAAAAAGAAATGTGCCTGCTTCACTTTAATAGCACTATTAAAACTTTCAGCCCACAAGGGTCTATATCGACCTTGGGCCTAGAAGCAAAGCATCACTTGCATCAGCCTTGCATGGTGAATTTGAAGGCTCAAGGGACTAATGGGTGGGTTCACAATGGCTACTTATTTCCCAAGGTTGTGTTTTGCCCTCAAACTAAGATTTTAATCATCCTGGCTGCACATTACAACTGCATGAGGAGTTTTGTCTTTTTTCCCAATAAAATTGACTGGGCTCTGTCTTAGACAAATTGATTCAAAATACTTGGGCATCAGTACGTTTTTTTTTTTTTTTTTAACTCAGATGATCCAAAGTGAAGGCAGACGGAAAAACACCTTCCGCAATCCTCCTCCTCTCACTCCTAACGCTGTGGTTTCCCAACACCCAGGACGTCCATCTTTCCACTCCTTGGGCATAGAGGTCCCTGGCTCCTGGTCTTCTGTTTCCTAGTTTCTATGATCATCTGCGCCTGGCCTCCCAGTTCTTGGACACCTCTACACCAAATGTCTCCACTTTCTCTTCCCTTTAGCAATGCTTATTAATGGCTACACCTGGATCTTGTCATTGAAATGTTCATGACTCTGGAGTGGTTAGCTCTGGAATTTCATAGGGTTATGTTATAGGTTGCATGATGACCCTCCGAAAGAATATGTCCACTGAGATAGACCAGTGAGGATGAACTTACTTAGGAAAAGGGTCTATGCAGATGTAATTAAGTTAAGGACCTGCAGATGAGATCGTCAGGGAATAGGGTGAGACTCAAATCCAACCATGAGCGTCCTCATAAGAGAAGAAAGTGGGGGAGAGGAGAGGAGATACACAGGGATGAGGGCCACCTGGACAAAAACAGAGTGTGGAGTAATTTATCCATGAGCCAGAAACAATAAAGATTGCCACTAGCAGCCACCAGAAGCTAGTTTTAACAAATGCATTAAAGTTAGGAGCATTAAAGCTATCTCTCCTTCAGAGCTTCTAGAAGAACCAGCCCCTGCTAACAACTTGGCTGCAGACCTCTGGCCTCCAGAATTGCTAAGGAATCAACTTACGTTGCGTTCTGTTGCCCAGTTTACGGTTATTTCTTACGGCAGCTGCACAAAACCACACATCACAACCTTGATTCTTTCCATGTTTACCACAGTCTCAAACTCATTAAATGTCTTATCCTCAAATTCATCTATGACCCTTTCTATTTCACCTTCCTCCATCCCTGCCCTGGATTCAATGAACAATCATTTCAATAGCATCATCACCACCATTAATTCCTTGTGTGACTTGCTGTCCCAGTCCCTTAACAATGCACCAGTGCAATCTCTCATCCTTCCCATTTTTTGTCCCTGGGTTGCCAACCAGTGTGGACAAGATTGCTGACCCTTACAAGCACATCCTGTGTATGTTTATCAATTCTAGCTTTAACTGAATCTTCGGCACTGCCAAATAATCTTAAATTTGTCTTTATAGGACTCCCCCGCCCCTCGCCACCCAATCATCCTTCATAGTACATGTTCCAGATTCTCATAATTAACCCTCAACCTATTCCCATCACCACCCTTAATGTCCAGCGAGTCTCCTGTTAACACTATAAAGGTATAAGCTGTCACATTTCAACTCTTTCAATCTTCCTCTCCGGAATCTTAAACCTGACCTCTATCTGTACCCATCCTGAACCCCTCCTGCTAGTCTCAGAGAAAAGCATATGCAGGGGGCTTACCTGTCCCCCTGTCCTCAGACCCTTCCACCTCCGTCAAGGTCTGAAAGCACACCTGGGAAGGAGACTTCAGATCCCCTACCTATAGCCCCTAACATCTCAAGCAGAGCCAGGAAATTAAAACAGGGAGAGAGAGGGGTTGTATTACCTGACTCTGACCGAGGTCCCAACCCACCTGGAGTTCCGTGCTTCTTCTAGTCCACATGAAGGATGTATTTCAGATGTTTCTGAAAGAGGAAATTGTCAGACCTCATTTCTGTAACAGTTGCTATCCCTGCAAACCAAGCTTTTCTTTTTTTTTTTTTAATCCAGAAAAAGATTTTCTTAATGTATTTGTAAAAAAATCTTTGCCAGAACAACATTCAGTGACTTACTTTGTATTTTTTGAATATGTAATAAATGCATTAAAAATTTCAAGCAGCGTAAAAGATTATACAATCAAAAGCAATTCATATTTATCCCTGATTTCCTAGTTCTACACCCACCTCAACTTCCCTCCCTTAGAGCAACTTATCTTTACCAGTTTCTTGTGTATCCTTCCAGAGATAAACATGCTGTATCCTGCCTGTCATCATTAGAAACTATCAAGTCAATCCTTGGGAAAAAAAGTTCCAGGACCCCCAGGGATTACTAAAATCCATAGAAGCTCATTATACAAAACGGTGTAGAATTTGCTTATAACCTATACACATCCTCTCATATACTTTAAAGCATCTCCAGAATGCTTATGATACCTAATACAGTGCAAATGCTATGTAAATGATTATTATTATGCATTATATAAGGAATAATGATAAGAAACCTGTGCATTTTGAGTACAGATGCAGTTTCCCTGTAATATTTTCTATCTTCGATTGGTTGAATCCAGAGATGGAGAACCCACAGATTACAGAGAGCTGTTCTGTTGTATGTTGGAAATCCTCCCTATAAGCATGTGCAGAGCTGGGGTTGTAACTCAATGGCAAAGCACTCACCCAGCATGAGCAGAGCCCCATATTCAGTCCTGAGTGCCTCTCCCTGCAAAATACAGAGCTGCCTGACTCTGTTAATTGGCTATTCCATAATTTGTTTAACCCACACTGATGTATATTTAAGTCATATCCAGCCCTCTGTGAATGTGTGTGTGCGCACATTGAACTCAGGGGCACTCAACCCCTGAACCACATCCCCAGCTCTACTTTGCATTTTATTTAGAGACAGGGTCTCCTTGAGTTGCTTAGGGCCTTGCTAAATTGCTGAGGCTGGCTTTGAACTTGCGATCCTCCTGCCTCAGCCTCCCAAGCCTCTGGGATGACCGACATGCACACGACGCCCGGCTTAATGCCAGTCTTAAAGCAAACCAGTTAAAGACGTTTTTGTTTTGTTTAAAAAAAATCAAGAATTCACTAGGCGAGAAACTTCAAAGGTAACAGAGAGGAGAGGGCTCAACTGACCACTGGGCAGAGGCAGATGATGGGGCAGTGCCTGCGCCCCCCACTCACCCCACCAGGGGAACCCTGTCTGACCACGTGTCCCCCTTCTCTCCCCGCCCCCCAGGAGCCTGATGCCTAGGACCCTGGAGACCCAGATCACGCTGGAGAAGACGCCCAGCTACTTTGTCACTCAAGAGGCCCCTCGGCGGATCTTCAACATGTCCAGAGACACCAAGCTGATCGTGGTGGTGCGCAACCCCGTGACGCGCGCCATCTCGGATTACACCCAGACGCTGTCCAAGAAGCCCGACATCCCCACCTTCGAGGGCCTGTCCTTCCGCAACCGCAGCCTGGGCCTGGTGGACGTGTCCTGGAACGCCATCCGCATCGGCATGTACGTGCTGCACCTGGAGAGCTGGCTGCGCTACTTCCCGCTGGCCCAGATCCACTTCGTCAGCGGAGAGCGGCTCATCACCGACCCCGCGGGCGAGATGGGGCGGGTGCAGGACTTCCTGGGCATCAAGCGCTTCATCACCGACAGACACTTCTACTTCAACAAGACCAAAGGGTTCCCTTGCTTGAAAAAAACCGAATCGAACCTCCTGCCTCGATGCCTGGGCAAATCCAAAGGGAGAACTCATGTACAGATCGATCCCGAAGTGATAGACCAGCTCCGGGAATTTTATAGACCTTATAATATCAAATTCTATGAAACGGTCGGGCAGGACTTCCGATGGGAATAAGTCACCCACAGGCAAGGGTTTCCCCGATGGCCTCTTCCATGAAGTTCCATGAGACCCATCCTCCTCTTTCCCACCCACAGGCTCCAGCCCATCTTGGAACCAGGACAACAAGAAGGGTCCTGCCCCTGGCTCTTACTGCTCCTGGTAGGCCCATTCAGTTCCAGAATCATTCTCCCTGCCGCCCATCAGAAAGAGGCCTTGAGCATTTTTGCTATCAAGAAGCGTGGCTCTCCCAAGGATAACAGATATAATAAGTGGTGATGGTTCTGTTGCTATGAACACAGCTGTCCGTCCCCGTCCCTGTCTACCCGGGAGTGGGGCTTGTGAATTCCAAGTGGCATGTATCTTCCCTCTGAGCTCAATTTCCCTGAGCATCCCTTGGTGGTGGGATGGGACACCGTCTTAGTAGCTCAATGAGAGATGGTAAAGCCAGAAGCATCCGTCTGGCCCTTCCTGGGAGATAGACCCTTTGATGATGAAATAAGCCAGTGATTTCAAAAGCCTGTGTGGTCTCAACTGTTCTGGAAGGATACTGTCTTTGAAAACCACTCTGTGACTCCTTGCTCCCTGTGGACAAAAAAGCACATGATTTTTCTGTTACGGGTACTTTCCTCACGCGAGCGTTCATGTTCAGCATGCGATGGAATCATGCTTGTCCATGTGAAATAAATATGGCTCTCTTGTGTCCTTGAGGCTGAGTTCTTCTCGACACACCCATTCATTTATTCAGCTCCTCCCAACACAAGGTGCAGCTGGGCCTGAGGAGGGGCTGCAGCTTTTTGCTGCTGTGACTGAAACAATTTTAGAGGAGGGAAAATTTATTTGGGGGCCCATGGTTTCAGAGGTCTCAGTCCATAGACTGAGCCCCCTCGGGACTTGAAGTGAGGCAAAACATCATGGCAGAAGAGTGTGGCAGAGGGAAGCAGCTCACATGCCAATCCACTTGCCAGATGCAAAATATATACCCCAAGGGCACACCCCTAATGACCCGCCTTTTCTAGCCACACCCTACCTGCCTTCAGTTACCACTCAGTGAATTCCATCAGTGGATGGATTCACTGATTAAGACTCCCCAAACCCAATTATTTTTCCTCTAAACCTTCTTGCATTGTCTCACATGTGAGCTTTTGTGGGGGACACATCACATCCAAACCATAACAGCCTGGCATGGGGGAGAGGCCAGGGGGCAGAAATGGCAGGGGGGATTTCTTGCTAGCAAAGTCTGGCAAAGAAGGATCATATGCGGATGCGCAGGGATGTTCTCTTTCTGAAACGTAAGTCTGGCTGGGTCGGTTCTCTGCTTGGACACTCTGGAATCAAAATCTAACTCACAAGGGCAGATGACACAAAAGTCTAAGACATTAGATTTGTACCTTGGTTCATCTTTCTGACCTAAGTATCTCCCAGGGCATCAAGTGATGGGTCCATGGTACAGAGAAATCAGGGCTGTGGGTTCGCCCCTCTGAGCTTCCCCTATGCCGTTGGAGGGAATTGGAGAAATGATGCAGAAGGAAGAGCTATTTTCAGCAGGAACCTGAGGTCCCGAGCTTCTGGTGACCAGAAAAGGGATGGATTATATATAAATTGCCCTTATATATCCCTCATCCCAAAGTATTTGGTGTCCTGGAATCCTGAGCCAAGCAGTAGCCAAAGCTGTATGCAGAGGGACAGAATCACACAGGGGTGTGAAGAAAACACCTGATAAAGAGTCAGTAAAATGTGCTTGTTTATCCTGATTGGGAAGAGTTCAGTCAGAATTGATGAAGATTCTGAATTTTATGTGCACTAATGCAGCTTAACTCCTTGGCATTACAAACATTCTCAGACTGCCCAGACTAAGTAGCCTCCCAGTCTTAATGAATAGGTATGAATCTATTGTAATTAGCATATCAATCATTGTATGCAAATGAGAGAGGCTAAAGTACCTTAAAAAAAATTCTAGTTTAAATGAGTGAAATTCAGAGTACATGAATCTGCTCAGCAAACTCTAATTTTTAATCCAGTGCAAATGGTCCCTTTTACCCAGGCTGCCCCGGGGCAAACTTGCACACATTCCAAATTAGTGAGGTTTAAATAGATGAAGTCTGAGTATTCAATCAGAGACCAAAAAGGAAGTCTCTTGTGTGCGTGTGTGTCTTTGTGTGTGTGTGTGCATGTGTGTGTGTTTGCTGGTGTATTTGCTGAAACAGAATCCCAAATTGGCAGTGCTTTAAGAGATTGAGGTGTGTTTCTCTGTCACTGAGAACCCAGAACGTGTGACAGGTCCAGGACATCAGAGACTGGCCTCCAGGTGCCTGTGATTCAGGATGGTTCACCTTTGTGCATTCCACTCAGCAGGAAGGGAGTGAGACACTAATGAGGACCACCCAAAAGAGAGCAAACAGGGCTATCGATTGAGAGCTTGCTAGAGCAAGGAGCCGTGCATCTGGCAGAGACTCAAAGGCAGCAGAGGGGGGAAAGGTTTATAGTGGAACCAAAGAAAGTCTTCAAGTCACCCCTGAGTGAGGCTGTTTGTTAGCGGGGCTGTTGGTGGGGAGCTGGAGACAGACTCATTAGAAGTGAGACAGCTTCTGTGAGTAGTTTGGGGACACACTTGACTTTTTCTAGTTGGTCCTGAGTTGGAGGCAAGGACAGATATAGGGAAACGAGCCATCTTTGACCAAGTCCTGAACAGTTCTGGCCCAGATGGTCAGAGGTCCACTGTCAAGTTGTCTGACTATTGTCCATTCGTATAGTTAGTATCTCAAGAGCAAAAAGGGGCACGGGAAGAACATGCCTCTTCCATTTGAGGGTGCAACATCACAACTTTCCCACACTGTGGATAGTGCCCCCTAAGGGTGGATGAAGGTAGTGCTACTATTTTCACCCACGTTGCCTTGAGTAGAGAACTCAGTCCCTTGATCACACTGAAATGTGGGTGAAGCTGGGAAATGTAATCCTTAATTTGTGTGCTACTGTGTTCAGCTAAAAATAGGGGATTCTCCTGTAGAAGGAGAGAACAGATATTAGGGATCCTAACCGTCCTAATCAGAGAACCTTATCCACACAGCAAATTTTGTGGGTGTGTATATTTCTCTCTACACCTTGGGGAATGCCGGCTGTGAGTCTCCTCACAGCATGTGTCCACCCTGTGTCCGACCCTGCTTTGTCCCCACCGTGCTTCTATCTACAGACAACATGCTACAGAGGCAAGCACCATTTGGGGAGCCCAAAAGGACTGACGTGAAGCCCTACCTTTGCAATGTCCTGACTATGGACAAATTATCTAACTTCTCTGGGCCAATTTTTGCCATTAGTAAATTGGGACATAAAGTGTACTTATGATAAGAGATTTCCAACGTGCCTTGAATTAAGTCGCTCTTGCAACCCAGGATCAAGTGGCTTGGTCCAAGCTGGCTCAGTCTAGACTCTGGGATCCAGAGTCTCTGGCCAGATAGAACTAATATCAGTTGCCCCCAGGGTGTGAACAAAGTCCCACTTGCTGATTAGATAAAACAGGTGCAATGACAGTGCATCTCCCGGGAACCAGAGGGACGTGATATGGTCTGTTCCTCACCCTGGTAAAGAACCCACTGGGTGAAATCCCAGAAATGAAGAATTGATGGGATTTCACCCAACCGGCCTCTACTTACTGAACACTTCAGCAGACTGGCCAGGTGCCAAGGCTGCACAGCGTGTGTGGTCGTTAATCCTGTCCCCACCCATGGAGCTCTCCCACGAATGAGAGTCACATAAACAAATAACTGTTATATACCCTGATGAGGATAACAGGAAGTGGGTGGGGACCTTCCTGGAGGAAGTGACATCCTCCAGATCATCATCTTTTGGAGAAGTTGCTACCTGGGAGCTGGAAAATCCCCTGGGGGCATGATTTTTCAGGGGAGCTCTTTCAGATCAAGGATTAAGGATCCTGGGCTAAATTCTGGAACAGGATTTGTCTCTAAGTCTGTCTGCACCACACCCCAGTCTAGGGGCTACTCTTCCCCCGCCCCCCCCCCCCAATTCAAGGTGGACCTCACACCTGTCTACCTGAAGTAGGTGCAGAAATAGAGATCCACTCCTTTCCCAGGAGAATACGGACTGCTGTCTTCCTGGCTAGACAAATGTAACCTCATGTTCCTCCCTCGCCTTTCAGAGTTCAGCACCAGAGATGAACAGTCAACTTAGGCCAATAAATAGGTGTCCCCGTGGGCTCCTCGCTCTGACAATGAACTTGGCACTGTTTTTTTCTGATAAGTCTGGAGAGCCTGTGGCTCTTATCAGTTGGGGGTGGGAAGTCCGAATAAATATCCCAAAACAAATGTATAAAAGACTCGTTCCATTTTTCTTGTGTGGAATGAAAACATCAATGTCCTATTTAAATAGAAAGTGTATTCCTAATGGGCTTTCCACCCCCCCCCCCCACCATAGTGACTTAAACGAATTAAAGAATTAGCCTCTCCAATTCAAGAAGCCTGGGGTTGGAATGTTCAGAGCCAGAACAGCAGCTGTTGTATGATTAGGGACTAAGGCTCTTTCTGTCTTTCTACTCCAATCCTGAGCCCACAGTTGTGTGTGTTGCTGTGCCCAAAATACCTAACAAGAGGGACTTGGAGGAAGGGAGGTTTATTTTGGCCCATGGTGCAGAGGTCTAGTCCACAGTTCTGGGAAAGATGGAAAGCCATGGTGGAGAGAGCTGCTCCATTGAAGAGAGCCAGGAAACAGAGAGAGAAAATGGATCAAGGGGCCAAAGGTAAGATGCACCTTCCAGGACAGACCCCCAGTGACCCACCTCGTCCAGCCATGCCCACCCCGCCTACAGATATCACACAGTTCATTTAAACTAGAACAGACTGATTAGGTTCCAGCTCTTAAAACTTAATCTATTCACCTCTGAACATCCCTGTCTTAACACAGGAGCTTTGGAGGACACCCCATATCCAAACCATAACACTTGGCTTCCATCCTCATAGTCCAAGATGGCGGCTGGGGCTCCACTCAACATAGCTATGTTCCATCTAGAAAGATAAGGAAGGAAGGAAGGAAGGAAGGAAGGAAGGAAGGAAGGAAGGGAGGAAGGAAGGGAGGGAGGGAGGGAGGGAAACTTTCCTTCTAAGTCAACCCACTTTGAGAAGATTTCTCCCAAAATCTACCAAGTGACTGATGTTTATCTTTTGGCCACCTAGAGTTGTAAAGGCCAGAAAATGTCATCTCTTTGCTGAGTGAATACATTGCCTCCCTGACAACCCAGGATTTTGATGCTAAGAAAGAAGGCGAGAATAGATATGGAGAAGGCACTTAACAGTCTCTGTTACAATGCAACCCCGGCTGTTTGCAAAAGCTGTCTCTTCGCGTACCAGCATTTTCCAAGCAATCTTCAAAGTGGCTCCAGCATTTCCCATATTTAAGACCTCCAATATCTCTTCCCATCTTTTCCCATCAAGACCAGTTTTAAACTACCGTCGTGGCACCACTGAATGCAGAGCTAGGAAGAGATGTGCACAATCAACCATAAGGAGACAGAACTAACCAGCCCTGGCACATCACTGCCTGATCTCTCCTCTCCCTGTTTCCCAGTCCAGGAAACACTGGAGAGGAGGAATCCGAGACCCTAGAATTTGTTACGCACCAGTATGCCTGTGCCCAGATTTCACCTGAGCCCTGAGCACGGGACCAGACACATTTTCAACACTAAGTCAGATGACATT